GATGATGATGATGATGATGATGATGATGACGAGGATGATGACGATGACGATGACGAGGGTGATGATGACGAGGATGATGATGGGTAGACTCTGAGGAATCGACGTGACCGACGTCTCTTGGCTCGAGGGCGTGAACGGTGGGCGCCAAGTTGCGGCCAGGGGTCGTTGCATAGGCCGCTGAGCCTGGCTGAGTTTCTCGTTTTCTTTGTTTTTTTGCGACTTGAGACAGCTCTGAACGTTGCCTTCGTGCTTGGGGTTGAACAGTCGACAGACTTTTAAGATGTTGCACTGTTGCACCTCGTGGCAGACTTTGTGCATTGCAGGCTTATTCTTTGACGAGCACCCTCCAGCCAGAGCCATGTCGGACGAGTCTGAGTTAAGAGCTCAGATTGGAAAGTTTCCACGGAGTCAGTACAAACTCAAGGAAACATGACACCAATTTGAAGGAGTGAATCATGTAGGCAGTTCATGTACAGTCGGTCAGTAATGGCATTGTATCAGTGTGACAATGGCAGCTGAGGAACGAAGAGATCAGCGATCTGTCCAACCCTGACGTACACCCCTCAGACCAATTTGTTCGGACCTTCGCAAAGACACATCTCGTGACTCCAGGTGACCACCAAATATCGTGCTGCCGGAGACATCGTAAACAAGGCGCTGTATCAGTCTCGAGACTTGCTCAAAGATGTTGTAGCAGTTGTCCACGACTGATGAGTTTTTCGCAATACGACACCATCTCAAATGGTTCGAGTCGTGTTTTTGTCGGGCTCAAGTCTTCAGGCACTGCAAAAAGTCGTCGAAGCTTGTGTGCCCGATGCCGACATTGCGCTCGCTGACATGTGTTCCTGTGGGTTGACCATGGTAGATCAAGGGGTTCCACACGGATCAGCTATGTTTCAAGTTGTTTCAATGTGCCAGGTGATGCTGTGCGAGATGGGGGACAAGATCATGGAAGAAGAGCAGCGCACTTAAGAGATGTCAGATCATGTCAGTCGCACAATCCTGATGAGGATTTACCATTCATGTTTCTTTGTTGATGATGCGATTCCAATGCCCAACCAGGCAATGCGGTTGGAACAGTGTTTTTTTCCAAACACTCTCCCAGATGCTTTTGTGACTGCTTTTCCGAATGCTTGTAACTGCTTGGAGGGTCCAGTTGCGCAGTTTGCTGCCAGCAGATCTTTGTTGCCAAACTGATACAGGGGAACGTAGGGGAAGGAGCCTTCAACCACACGATGAAAGAAACGAATAGGGACCCTGTGCATTGCGTGTCAGACCTGACTCGATCGTTTGCCCCAGCTGGTGGTGTGAGATCTGACGTCTGGCAAACGCTCGTTGATTCTCTAAGGACTGGAAAGCTTTACAACAAAAAAGACAAAGAAGGAAAGAAGATGGAGAAGGCCAAATGCAATTTTGACAGTCTTTTGAATGGCAGTTGGACAAGACATAAGTTGTTCAGCTTATATATTCATTCAGGTAGGGGTTTGGATAGGTCCATTTTGGGGTCGCACACTGTTTCAGTTCGTTCAAGTAAGGTATATAACGCAAACAAAGCAATAATATTCTTTCTTTTTCGAAGACCACCCGGCCAGGGCGTGGCCTTCCCCACCTGCGTTTCTGTGAACGAGATTGTTGGCCACTTCTCTCCTCTCCCTGCGCTCGTCTCAGAGTCTTTGATGTAGCCGAGCTGTGAGTTTTGCATGATTCATGCAAAGGTCATTGTCTTTAGGGCTTGGTTTGTAACAGTGACATGATAAAGGCCTTGCGCGAATGATCCTGTGTATGACTTGTTTTGCTAAACTTCTTTCGGAGATGTGCCCTTTTTCAGTCCTCGTTTGTCAGGGCGAGTCCAGGCAGGGTCATCGGGCGAGATGTTTGCACAGCATTTTTTGATGCTTTCGGCCATTCGGCCAGGCCGCTGAAAGCGGGCGACATTGCCAAAATAGACTTGGCTTGCCACATTGACGGTGCGACCCGATGATGAGGTGACCCGATTGACGGTTCGACCTCATGTTTGCACCGATTCCAGGCTTCATTGCATCAGCAGCTCACACTATCATCGTGGGTGGCGAGAAAGCCTTGGACTCGGCAGATTCTGTAGGTTGTTGCATGGATCAATGGCGGTGTACCAAGTAGCAAATAAGCAGGATGCATTCACCGCTAAGGTAACTGATAGAAAAGCAGACGTCGTCATGGCTGCTTGGAATGCAGCAGAGGCGCTCGAGAGCACCGATTACATGTGGCTCCGCTTTGTCAGTACAGTGATGTATGTCAACTCAAGAAACACAAGATTTACGAGCTGATGGCGCGAGGCGGCTCTACGGTTGGTTCAAGTTGGCCATAAGAACTCCCAGGTTTGGTTCCACACAGTCGTGTTTTGTCAATTGTAGAACTATAGAAGCTTCAAAGACATACTAGAAAGCTTTATTGTTACTACTCGTACAGGTGAAACGATTCCCAGTGAAACGATTTCCAAGGAAACTTCTAGTTACTAGAAAGCACTTTAAACTTTAATCTACGTGTGCCTAGTACTGGATGCTTAAGATTGCTGTCGGGGTCTCTGAGTGTGAATATTGTTGCTTTGCGACTTGCCCAAGTGGATGCTTGCAGCCGAACCACCGTGGTGCATCCAGGTTACTGAAGCTTTTGCAAAGATCGCAGAAGACTTCAAGGTAAAGCCGATGCAAGGTGCCAGCAGCTCCCGTTTATGTGGCTATCAGAACCGTTTGTGTGCATACCCGTGCGCGTTTGGATAAAGTCGAGCCAAATCAGCATTTTAAAGTAGCAAATTTTCCTGATCCACCATTAGGGTCGCACTTGGGTTTCTTACAGGTGTTCTTTCCCACCAGCTGAAGAAGCACGTCATTGATGGTAACCGCACCATCATTTGTGCTGAGACGCCTGAAGAGAAGGTGGGAAAAATGTGGTTGCTGAATGACAACAGATACTTCTAATTCTATTGAATTCTTGTTTCTATTAGCGAACATTGCTCCTAGTAGTAAGGCCAGGAGCCCCTAGTAGCGTCCTTGCTACTAGTAGCGATGCCCTTTGCTCCTAGTAGCGAACATTGCTCCAACCAAAAGATGCACCGACCATGTTGGTGATGTCAGACGTGCGACAGTTGAAGGCTTGCATCTACCCGGGATTGTTCGGAAACCCACGAAGAAAGCTGCCTCAGGTGGAAGAGTTTGAGTTCGAGCTGAACGAAGTCTACAGCATCGATATTGTAATGTCGACTGGCGAAGGCCAACAAAACAAGATAAATCAGTCAGACATTCTTTCACACAACCGTTCAGAGCAGTCAGACGACAGCGGAATCAAATATCAGGGTTCCATAATCTGACTTCCTTTCCGCTCACAGAGACTTGTTCCTTGGGAAAGTTCAGGCCGGGGCAAAGAGACGGAGATCAGAAATACTATTTACAAAAGAGCAGCCTAAGCCTTAGTCTCCTTAGTTTGTGGTACTACTCAATAGATAATAGATCATGAGCCATGAGCCAAACGAGAATAATATTTTGTAGAGGATGGATGTGAGATGGCCTTTGTCGTGCCCAGGTGGAGAACATGTACAGCCTGAAAACTCAAAAAGCAAGACAGTTCATCTCTGAGGCCATCTAAGTTTGTCACAGATTTCATCCACAAGTTGCATGGGGCTCTCTTTCACTGTACCATACTGCACCCCTGTAGGAGCAAGGACGCTACTCCTGGCCATACTACTAGCAACAAGAAGCTACTAGTAACAAGGGCATCGCTACTAGGAGCAAGAACGCTGTTAGACCTGTGCCGCATCACGGCCCCGCGATCACGACCCTCGACTTTGTGTACGTGCATCTCCGTTGAGAGGTGCAGAAGCGGTTCCCCGTGTTGCCATTCACTCTGCGTGCCATTGAAGACGAGCAGGTGGGCTCTGGTGCATGATGAAGCAATCCCTGCCATGTCACCATGAGTTGCATGATGTTATAACCAGCGATGGCCTCCAACCTAATAAGTTATATATATATACAGTATATACATACGATATAGCGCTATACTACACTGTTTCTCTGTGTTTTTTGTTTTTTTGTTCTTTGTTTCTTTGCGAACTCATCGATCCTTTCAGGTGGCCAGAGTTGGTGTCTCGGAGGCCAGACGCCATGAGCTCTTAGATGAGTTCGATGCTGAGAAAAAGGACCACAAAAAACACATAATGAAGCTATCAACGGTGCGGTCAAGAAGGAATGGTGCGGGACACGCCCTGAGGTATCCGGTCTTGAAGGAGGCAAACAACGTGCCGGGTCCGAATGGGTGGAGGATCCGGAGGGTGGACCGCTGGACCAATCTTTTTTCTCGTGACGAGCCAGGGCAGCCCAGCTGTGAAGATTCGCTTCAACTCAAACACTGCACTAAGGAGTTTGTAGCCCAATTCAAGTTCACACTGCCTGAGACTGAGATCCTTGAACTCGACTATTGAAGATCTTGCGGTGCTAGACCGAACCAGACTCCAAGGCTGCTTCTTCCTGGTGGCACCAAGAAGATCACGGGCTTGCCTTTGGGATCCTTGCAGGAGCAGGCCCAAAGCTCTCCAATGTTTTTTGCAGTCCTTTCCAAGTCCGGAGAGATCTGGAGGTCTTGGAATGCCTCCACATGGCTTAGAGGACAATAACAGTCGGGAAAAGTGCTGACCTGCAAGGCCGCCTCGAGCTTGTCAGTCGTCGACGAAGAAATGAAGAAGCTACTCGCGACATCAGCTCCGGTCTCAGATGAGGGATGAACCAATTTGATGAAGCGCCCGGCGAAGCCCTTTGCTTTGCTTTGATCGCCAAGGCAAACCCGAAGAAGGCCAAGAAGAAGAAGGACAAAGGCTATCCGGGCGAAGGGGAAGGAGCAGCTGCTGAGTAGGCCACCACACAGATTCTGAATACCAATGAGCACTTATCTCACTCACGACACCACAATCCCTTCGTGCAAGAATCTTCCAAAGATGTGTCAGGGTACTGTCATAGGTTTCATGTTAAGCAATATTGCTTCTTGTGGGTAGGGATCACGGATACTCTTGAATTGCCGGCAAACATGAGATTTGGGTGCACGAGATGTGCCAAAACTTGGAAGTCTGCAAGATATGCAGCCACAAACTTTGGTGTCCGAAAGGGTTCTAGCACTTTGAACTCCGCACTCACCATACAGCAATCTCGAACGAGATGCACAAGTACATGTAAATGGCCGCTACATAATAGGTTGTCGTGCCAAAGTGTGCTTCTTTGATGGACGAGTTTCACAGCTTAACTTAAAGCAGCGGTTGTAGATCCACAATGGATAGCACAGCTAGAGTAGGACAGCAATCGCTTCTAAAGAATCTGTGTGTGATTTTGAAGGAACTACCCAGGAAGTTTTGCCATGTGCAGCCAAAAGCGCAGCCTGACATGTGCGAGCGTAGCCAACGGTACAAGGAACGCCATAAGAAGCTGTACTGGGAGAATCAGAAGACGTAGAATTCCCCAGGCGGCAGGCGTGCTTGGTACTCGTAACTATCAGCCGCAAGGATGTTCTGCATCCTAGTAGGCCTTTTGAGCGGACTCTCTTGAGATGAGGATGATATCCTCCTCCGGCAGAATAGTTACATCCAGAGAGGATGTAGCAAGTAGGAGGCGTTGGCCGAAGTAAGTCATGGAAGGCTCAGAATTTTCTTGGCAGTCTTGACTATTCTTTCTGAATTTCTATCTCAACGCGTCCTTCCGTCTGTGGAACTTGAGCCAAGCGACAAAAGGATTGTGAGTTGATGGGTGGTAGCATGAGTGGGGTGAGTGAGAGAGACAGAGAGAGAGCGAGCGCGTGTTGGATGTGGCACAATGTGTCAGGAAGTCCCGTGTGAATCAGGCTTCAGCAAGCTGATCATGAGCAGAACTTATTTGCCACAGTACCCTTTGACTCAGCAGTGTTGGATTGTCTGTCGAATAGACAAGCCCCTTGCCTTGACTGCCACAACATTAAAACCTATAGTCTACTTCAGAGACTGAAGGGTCACACGTGTGGCACTAGCTTCCAGCGTTTGGGTTCATCATGGGCGACAAGGATGAGAAGTGGAATCCTCAGAGGATGGATGCAGGACATCTTGCATGAAGCATCTCTTAGTAAATTGCTTTGCTATTGGAGGGTCTTGTACAGTTCGCCAGTCAGGTTGGCTCGGCTCCTGGACACAATTGGCGCAGGAGCTGACCCCGACTTTGCCCGTGAGGTGGGCTTTCTGTTTCACAGGACACTTGTTACTAGAAGCGATGCACTTGTTCCTAGTAGCGTTCTTGTTACTACTAGTAAGGCACTTGTTACTAGAAGCGATTCTAATTTAATTAACACTAAATAGGCCCGAAGTTCAAGAACTCGGACAGCTTGATCAGTGCATACTGCTATTTCTTTTTGTGACGTGCTGATTTTAACAGTTCGCTTGTTCAACAGGCTATGAAGAGTTTAGATATGTAATGACTTTTTCTTTTGGCCAAGAATGTCATTTATTGGCTTGTCTTCTCTTGTTATCGAACAATCATCTCACCCGTGGCCAGGTTTTAGTGGCCAACAACTGGGACCTTCATGCATCTGCAATTGTCATCCTTGGCGAAGGAGTCGGGCGGCCCATTTGAGTACCTGACGGCTTTGGGATGGTTTGGAGACTGTTTCGAGCTCGAGGCACAATTGGCACCGGCTCCCACTCGGGCACCTCCAGCTGCTTCTTCAACAGCCATGACTGGAATGCCTGAAGGTGGTATGCCCTCAGGTACAGACAGAGCTGGACTGTGTAAGGGAAGTTGAGGTAGACTGGTAGACAAGTTCCAAAATGTTGGCATAATTTTTTGGGCTTTTCGTAGGGCGCACCATTGATGAACCTGGAGGTCTGGGACGGATGCCATCCGCTGATGTCCGAGCACCTATGCGCACTGGCTTTTATGCAGGGATCCTAGGTATGTCAAGTTTACTGTTGGACCAAGCATGGAAACAGGAAATCATGAGTTCAAAAAACCACTTACACTTGACTTTTGGTCCTGAGGGTGCTCTTCCATCTTTTGTGATTTAGTGAGCTCTTTTGAGCTGCCGGCCCGCCCTAAAAAAAGGGAAGAGGGAAAACCGCAGAGGAAACCAAAGCCTGGGCCAAATTCTGAACAAAATCTCTTCAAATTGGTTTTCATGAAAAAGCAGGCGAGTCAGCAGGCGAGTCAGCTTTCATGTATCGCTTGATCGAAGTGATTGAACGCACCAAGGAGACGCTGCTCACCACCGACCCCTCGGAGCAGGCCCGACAAGATCGAGCGCGTGAAGAGGAACGCCTTCGTTTGGAGGCGAGAGTTCCGAGGAGCCGATGAAATCAAAACCTTGAACCTATCATATCAATACATATATCAACATATCATATCAACTATATGTGTTCACTATATGTGTTAGTTTGAAGAATGGGAAATTCTTTCAAAGTCCTGACCTGAGTAGGCCGAACGGGTTGCAGCTGAAGAGAGAAAGAAAAGAGAGGCTGAAGAAGCCCGCAACAAGGCTGGTGTGTGTTTGTGTGTGGACTTGTTTGCTGTTATATTCAGGTGTGTTATCCTTTTTCTTCTGCAGACTTGCCCTGTTGGCAGGACCTAGCACGGAGGGCTGAAGAGCAGCGTGCTGCAGCGGAGCAGAAGGCACTCTAGATGTTGGCATTTTAATGCATTTTGCAGTCCAGGGTGCAGTTCGTTGAAGCCCTTTTTGCCCGAAGGCAATCGAAAGGAAGAAGCAAAAGATGCTGGAAGAGAAGGTCACCAAAGCGTGTGATGCCTGTTGGTTTGCCGGGCAAAGTGTGCTGAACGCCAACAGCATCCGTGGCCTGCTGGCCTGCGCTTTGCCACTGGAGGCCGCAAGCAAGAGCAAAGCCGCCAGAGGACGTAGGACGCCTGAAGCCGCTCAATGGGAATGGGACGAAAATCGTCCCTGAGCGACATTTGCTCCGGCCTTGCACCAGGGATGATGACAGTGATTCAGACCTGGAAGACATCCCCATCGAGTCTGGCATCATGTGCCGCGTCTCAGTCAAAGTTGAGTGAAGTGGACATCAAGAAATTCCGTTTTGTCGTTTGCAAGCCTATGTCATACTATGCTGATCTCAGCTGACAGGGTAGGTGCAAGGGGAACTTGATGCACCCCTTCTTTGGAGAGCAGCTTGTCTTGGAGGTTTTTCTCTTTTGAGGCTGGCAGAGCTCTCAAATCAGCTGGCGGGCAAGGCTTGGTCGCTTGCACTCGCGCTTGAGTTTACCTGTGGCTCATGTTATGACCTTTTCCAATGATGTGCAACATCGTGCAACTGCTCATGTGTTAGATCAGGCGCCAACGGAGAAGCCCAGGACCGCCAGGGCATTATATTGAATTTGGGGAGCAGCAACCATGCCAATTTTGCTTGGTTATGGACAGCTCGCGTTCTATGCTGGCAATGCGCGCTGCTGTAAGCGTTACCCTTTGATTTTGTGTTCACTGTGCTCTTAGTGTGAGATTTGCTGCACACTTGGGTTGATAGACGACACTGCAGCCAGCAAGTAATATCAACCTAGGTATTGCTGCAAGTGTTGTTAGATTCATTGCGATTGGAGCTACATTCGCAAAGCCTACCAGTCGCCAGGGAAGAAGAGGTTCCTGTGCCAGCTCCGAGCCACTCTCAGACCTTCACTTCTTTCATTGGTAGATCTATCAGCTCATTGGTTCCTTTTAGGCCCCCAGAGCCCATCAAGGAGGAGACAAGTGAGCAGGCCTTGAAAGATGTTAAAGCCTTGGAACACAGTGGTTGCCTGTAAAATCGTGATGTTTTTTCTCAGTGAGGCTGTTGTGGAGACCCCTGCTCTCCCCCCTGCTCCGCTCATTGCTGAGTCTTTGTTTTGCAGTTGGTACAGATCAAGGCTTTTAAAAGCATCGCTGTCCGAAAATACAAATTCTGTTTCTAGAGGCAGGACACTCATTCTCCATTGTCCGTCTTGAAGGACGCAAGATGCCAGGAGCAAGGACGCTACTACGGGCTCCTGGCCTTACTACTAGGAACAAGAAGCTACTAGGGGCTCCTGGCCTGACTACTAGGAACAAGAAGCTACTAGGGGCTCCTGGCCTTACTACTACGAACAAGAAGCTACTAGGGGCTCCTGGCCTTAC